GCTATCTTTTTTGCTACTTATTTTAGAATTTATTATTACCATTTATATTTTCGATCTTTGTTATTACACTATATTGTGATGTATGAGCTTCTCTGTCCAAATCATTTCCCTTTTGGATCAATAAAGTGTATCTAAATCTAAGTCTAAACAAGATTTAAGATAAATTGAAAACTCAAGAACAAATACAAAAAGGATCTAAACAAACCATTTGCAAAAGCCTGCGATGAATATGAGCGATCATGATCCTGTTTAGGTGTTTGATTTTCAACAAAAAAGACCACTGTGGGCTAATGCGAACTAACTTGTCTCTGTAATTTTATATTTGAGAGACTTGTGTAACAGCACAAATCAGCTTGCTTGTTGTAGTTTCAACTAAATCAGCTCTTTATGGTCACATTGTGTTCACTTAAAGCTCATATCAGAGTCTAATTTGAGTAACAGAGCTTCAGACAGAGCAGTGCTTACAGTTTGCATCACACCCCTGGTAATGTTAATCAGCTGCAAAGTATCAATATAGAAAAAATGTAAAATAAGTAAATAAAATAAAGTGAATGATTGACACAAACTTGAATTTTGCACTAGTGTTTTATCAAGTACCACTATTTTCATTCTCTTTGCTGTGTCCTTAGCCTCTGTTCAACTTAAGATCATTTCTCTTCAAGGTTTGAGAAATATTATGTGTTGTTTTGGATCCATCTTATTATACACTAACAAATGTTCCCATAGAATAATATAAACTCCATTCAAGGTAGACTTGAAAAAGACAAATGTATTTTTCCATCTCCATATATGACATTTAAACTGCTCTGACAGACGAGAACATTATAGTGTGCCTGTTTAAATTATATATGTTTTAAAACTGTTATAGAAATATTTGGCTCACGTTCAAGAGGAGGCATTTCTTCACGTTCATGGAGGGTTTTTTTTGTCGGTAATGCATATAAAACAGGGCCGCGAGGAAGAACCAAGATTGGGAACATTCTGTACCCTAAAGACAACACAAATCTGTCTACGGTAACTGTAAAAAAAAAAATGATATGAGCCTACGGTCACAGTAGAGACATCAAACAAGACTGAAAACCATTTAGTCCAAGTGTTGAAAGGCAGCCCCCTGTTCTCACGAGCAGTGCCAGAGATGTGTATCAGTTTGGGGCTTTTATTTTGAAAAACGATCACAATTTATCACAGTTTAATTTGAAAAGGGGAGCACCAAGATGTATTGAAGTGCAATTAAAATGTTTGGTTAAAATAAAGGCCTAATAAGCAGACTATGCTTTTTCAAGAGCAGCCTTTGATTTAAATCTTATCAAAGTCTGGTATTCTCACTGCGTCATACAGTGTGTACAACAGGAGTGAAATATCTGAAGGAATTTATGCAGCAAAAATGTCATTGGTAGTGGTTTTAAAAAGGATAACAACACATGGTTAAACCAGGACTAAACCAGGACTAACAAAACAATTGGCTTAGTTTAAACAAGGACTAAACAAGGATTAAACCAGAACTAAACAAGGATTAATCCGAAAATAAACCAGGACTAATACATGATTAAACCAGAACTAAACCAGAACTAAACCAGGACTAAACCAGGATTAAACCAGAATTAAACTAGGACTAAACCAAGACTAAACCAGGACTAAACCAGGACTAAACCAAGACTAAACCAAGACTAAACCAGGATTAAACCAGGACTAAACACAACCTAACAGAACAACTGTAGTAGTTTAAACTAGGACTAAACCAAATTACTGACTGCTACCTGGAGGATGGTAGAATAGCCAAATATTTTGGCACTGTTACTTAATAATAATATAACTATAAGTACAAGAAAAAGTACTAATGCAAGTATACGAGTAAAAACATATTTAGAAAATCTGAAGTATAGTTCAACATTAAATAATAAACAGATGTTGATACTTCAAAATGATACTCCATAGAAAATATATCACCAAATATTATATTTGAAGTAGTGCTGTTAAATTCTGTGTCAAGTATATGAAAAATATAGTTTCTTCAGAATGTTACTACAATGTATACTACAATTACCCAGTATATTAAAGGCCCTATACTACACAAAATGGATTTTTGTGAGCTTTAAGACTTGTTATAATGCTGTTACCCCGAGTTGTGTTTTGTTCCATTCACATAGTAGTCATAGTTTATTAGACTGTTCACATCTCCAAAGCACAAAATGTTCCACCTTGTGATGTCATGTAGTGATAGTTTTCAAGTAAACAGCTCCTTTTACCTTCTGTTCAGTAGAGAACTAAAATCATCAAACAATTCTTTAAAAAAAACACAGTGAGAGTGAAGAACACAGTCTAAATATGCAGGATTTGTGGTTAAACATGTGTGACTGAAACAAAACTCCAAGTACAGCATGTTTTTGATGAGGAATCAACATTATAACACAGACCATTGAATAGCGTATTATGGGCACTTTAAGTCTATGTTTGTTGATTAACTGGTTGATATAGCTGGTTAGTAAGATACAATAAGACGCCATGATTTTCTAAGAATGGATATTTACAATCTAAGCCTGGTTCTAGCTCTGGCTTTGTGGGCCACAGTGAAAATGCAGTCGGAGGATTTTATTGGTCGGCTAAATCCATCTGCTCTTTGGGAATGTCCCTCTAGCACAAAGTCATTCCGGGAGATTCCCACAAATTCCCCACATTTATTTATCTGCAGTAAAAGTGAGTGTAGCCACTAGTGCCCAAGATCCATAGTCCGATTTCCTCAAATTAAACGCGTCATTAATTGAAACAAAAGTGGATGTTAATAGGGTCTGATATGTTATAACAGTTGAGATAGGATCAGAACATAAACACAAGATGTTTGGATCAAATATTTTTCCATCAGAGATGTTGTTCTAGTGGGCGTGAGAAGATGTTAAACAATTTTGTGTTTTGCTTTGTGTGGGTAGAAAAAAGATTAAAACAGTCCGGAGGAGGAAAGTTACTAGACCCTAATAATAATGTGGGTAAGGTGTGTGTAACAATATAGCAAGAGCTCATTTTGAAAAACAGACAAGTTAAAAAGCTTTTCTTTTTGATATTTTCTCTTTTACACATAATACTGTTTAAATAACACTATAGTTAAACAGATGTGCTTACGAGAAAGAATAAAGGGGAAAGTTTTTGTTTTTTTTTTTCTTTTCAAATGGCACTTATCTGTTTTTGTAAATTGAATGTTTTGTTTTGTTTTTACATAAAACATAAAAAATTAAGAGTAAAAGTAATATATTTATGGCTTTGATTGTAAAATAGGCTTTCACATTAGCCTAAAACAACTGTAGAAGCCCTTGTATGTAAGTAGTAGTAGGCCAGTATAGTAATATAGTAAGTATAGTAAGCAGAGGAGGAGGCACCAGTAATGCCAGTAATAGTCATAAATGTTTGGCATAGTATTGTTAATAGTAAACAGTAGTAATAGTGGCAATAGCAATTAAGGTCAGAACAGTACATCTGAAGTACATTTACTTTGACTGTATACCAACAGACTACATATTTTCTTTATAGCTTCTACCTACTTTACTGTGTTAATCACTGTGTGTTACAATTATGTATTTAAATTAATTTGTTGTACAATGTAGGTCAAGTCGAGGTTTGCGTATCCTCTTTCTCGTACGGTGGATTACTTCTGTTTTAGGAAACTTCAAAGAGAGGAGAGAGGAACGAATGCCTTTACTGTAATGTTAGAATGTGAAAAATGAAGGCAAAGCATAAGTGAAAGTCACGCTTTTTAATCCAGTTTCAATTCAAACAGTATTGTATCCCTATCAAAACTAGGGGTGTGTAAAAATATTGAAATATCGATATATTGTAATACAAAATTTAGAGATACAATATTGTTATCGTGGGCAGATGTATCAATAGCTCGCTAAGAGTATTTTTTGTCATCTTTAAGCAATTTCTAGTGACCACAAGACAATTTTGTTGCTTATTTAGTGAAAGCAAACCTTTATATACAATACACTTCTCTCCACTATGCTGATGATTAAAACAGATGTATTTCATATTAACTTTTTAGTAGTTGTTTAACAAAGAAATACTGTTGCTAAAATGTACTTGATTCTTAATGTCGTATCATGAGCCATGTATCATGTATTGTATCAGATCATGAGGGACCCTGTGATTCCCAGCCCTGATCAAAACCTATCCTAAACATTTTCAAGTTGGAACTTGGTCGTCATGGTAACAGTGTCAGCAAAGATATATACACCTTATTTTTCTGCCTATGTGCAGAAAATCTATGTGTTTTGGTCTCAATGCACAGCTCATGAATAGCAATAGAATAGGAATGTGTAGACTTATATATCGACCAAAAATCTATTTCAGCTCTTGACACTCCAATGCAATTACCAAAAGTTTTAGTAATCAAAGAAATACCATTTAAAGTTGTGTGCGTGAGTGCAGTGGGGTCATGTGAGGGAGGGCATCTGGCATAGAAATTTCTATCTAAGCATTAAAGGTCCTATATTACACAAAAAAAGGACTCCTGAAAGCTTTGAGTCATGTTAGAATGTTGTTACCTCAATGAAAACATACCAGGAGTTGTGTTTTGTTTCAGTCACACATGTTTGAGTAATCCTGCATTATTAGTCTGTACATCTCTAAAGCTCAAATGCTCTCTTCCACCTTGTGATGTCATGAAGTAGCAGTTTTCTAGTTTTATTCAGTAGAGATTTGCAGTACCAGGGCTGATATTATCCAAATGATTTTAGTGAAGGTGTATGGAGATTAAAAACACAGTAGAGCATTTCCAGTATTACTACATGACATCAAAAGGTGCTTTCAGTGTGTTTTCCATTTGCGAGAACTCAGCCTAAATATACAGGGCTTGTGTGTTAAACATGTGTGAATGTAACAAAACACAACTCCAGGTATATTTTATTATAACACAGATAAAAAAAATAATGTAATACTGTATGCGCCTTTTGCGTTGGTGACACTTGACCTTGGTATTGCTGTAGCACGCACGGACAAACACAGAGCTCATATTTCAATGTAAAATAATATACTTTATTATGACCGTACGAGATCAATACAAAGCAGTTTTATGTTTAGCAATGCAATTTCCATGTGGCTTTTTAATTCTCCAGAGAACACAAAGGACACAACATGGACACAAGTGTAGCTTCTGCAAAGGGACCAAGCAGCAGTGGAATGTATAGCTTTTTGATTGAATAACACAAAATTCACATTAAAAATTACATTACCAGGTTTTTAAAAAAAATGAAATATTGTCGTAAAGCAACACGAAATGGCTATGATGTCGGAGAAAATCTTTTTGTTTTGTTTCCAATAACTGCAAGACACATAAAGTAAAATAAAAAATGTATTTCTTTACATATAAATATCAATTACAAAGGCAGAGAGGTTGCCTTATGCGTCAGTAAAGCTTTTGACCATGCAAGGTTCCATACTGTACCTTTTTCACAACACCATCGACAAAAGACATTGAATATATACAGAAAATAACAAAAATATCAACTTTTTTCCGCAAGGGCGTGACTTATTTTACAGCTAGCGTACTTGAACACACTGAAATACAGGCATACGTGTAGCTTAACAGAGCAAAAAGCGGCTAACACTAACACTACGAGGTCAACAGAGGTACTTAAATACACAATTGCATTAATAAGCTGTAAAAATTATATACTCCAAATACATATATAACTATGTACATATACATATAGGTTAAATACTGATCATTCTGAATCCCTGGATTGCTGAAATGTCTTTTTTAGGCAGCAAGATAACTCCAATAAATTGTGCTTCACATTTATTTGCGATTGATGGTTCAAAAAGCTGATAGCTGGAGAACAGGTCAGTAGGGCTGGGATGAGATACAATTTCCACAAGACGAGACGAAACACGGGATTGGATATACGAGAACAAGACAGGACGAGATTTTGACATTATTATGAACACATTGTGCGTTGTTACCAGTTTTAGCCTCACCATTTTTGATTTACTTTATTTAATATTTCTGCTGTCATTGTAGCGCTACTTTTTGGGACAACAGCTTCTCAGAAATTTTAACTCACCAGCACTTTATTTTTTTATCTAATCCAAATGTTAAAAAAATTGCACAAGATCATTCTGAGCATGTGTGCACAATCTTGTTGCAATTTTGTCTCGTGTGATCTTATGGCATCTTGTCCCATCCCTACAGGCGAGTCTACATAACAGAGAGGTATGGTCTTATTCGACACTTCCTGTTTAAACATTATGCAATAGTGTCTGAAATGTGGTGTTTTTTCAGGGGTTTGTGAGATAATCTTATGTTATAGATCTGCGTCACGGCAGCAGCTGTTCTCCTGTACTTCCGCCATAATGATAACCCACACTGCCTCATAAGTGCATCACTGTTGAACATTATTTACTGTTTCATAACTAACGAAAAAGCTCTGCTGCCTTTCAGAGGAAACTCACCCCAACAAACCAACTCTCCTCGTGACTGTTCCATCACAAGTTGTTTACAAAAACGAAAAACAGGGCAGATTTTCTATGCTCTAAACATGTGACTATAAAAACACTGTGACGAGAGATAATAATATTTTGGATTGCTTACAATTTTAGTAAAATGCTTACGAAATAGATTTGCAGTATAGGTTCAAATTTGATGCAATATTGAACAATACAGCTTATACATAACTATAGTTGTTAAAAAATCAGTTAGGTGTTAAAGGAGATGGTGATGTTTTAGGGTGATTTTCCTCCCGACGTACCACCTTCACACAATTAAGGCACCTTTTAAACCCCTGAGGGGTCAATGGGTTCTTCTAATAAGAAGAGCAACAATAACATGAACACACATACACCACAAAGACATGAGGAGCTCACACTGAATGAACTTTTGGAATGTCTATGGGCCCAATATAGAAGTGCCTTTCTCATGTTTTTGTAGCAGCATCTCCTGAACCACACTGCCTCTGTCCCAGGACTGTCTCCATGGAAACACTGTGGCTTTATCCTCCAGACTGTCAGCAGAGCAGAGTCCAGTCTGTAGCTCTGAGCTGATATGAGCAGTATATCAGTCCCCATACTGTTATATGAGCACATACTATATGAGTTAATAGCCCACATTGAGCTTGTTCTTGTTTAGCTCTCTCTCCAGGTTTCCGATGAGCGTATCTATGCTCTCCTGCAGGTCCCTCAGGTTGACCCTGTTGCTGAGCACAGGGCTGATGTCCTGGATCTTCATGTAAGCCTGGTACGTATGCTCCCGTGGGGGTAGGATGTGCTCACACAGACGCTCCTGCTGCTGCTCTGGGGGCTGACTCTGCTCTGTGTCTGCCTGGGTCTGGTTCTGCTCCTCTTCTTTCACCTCCTCTGTCTCTGTGTCCAGGCTGAGGGGCTGTTCTTGCTCCACACACTCTGAGCTCTGATCAGACCCACTATTGTTCATGTCCTCACTTTTCTCCTCTGCAGGACCATCATTATCCTCAGAGGCCACATCATCGTAATCTGCCTCCTCCCGACACACAGGGGGCAGCATCTCCACAGGGAAGTAGTTCTCCCCACAGCCGCTCCAGTCTCCAGCGTACCGGTTACTGGGACTGTCCAGTCGACCTGGTTTAGGCCTCAGTACACCCGCCATCTCTGCGTCTGTGAAGTTCAACACCTGGGGGCGCTCCTTCCTCCGCCGGATTGGAGGAGCAGACAGTAGGTCAGAAGAGGCTGTGCTCACAGTCTCTGCAGGGGGCTGTGCTGACTGGGCTTGGGGGTCCACAACTACACAAGAAAAAAGGAAAGAAATAGTTTTAAGAAAAAATGTATGAATAATTTGCATTCGGAAAAAGCCACACATCTGAAACCATGATTTTAAGTGTAAAAGTATAAAAGTGTATATACTTTTACAGTATAGAAGTGTAATGAAATTATAAGTTCTACACATGCCATATAAGTCATGCTCAATGCACACCAAACCAAGCTTCAAAAATAATAGTAATTTTTCTCCTTTTCACATACTGACTACTTAAAAATACATTTTAATTGTTCCATTTTAAGTTTTATAAAACACTCCAACCCACACTCTGTTACCTGCTGTGAATCTACACTTGTTGACATCGCTAGCTCTCCCTTACTGTATTGCAAAAGGACAAAGCAGTTACAGACAAAAAACATACATTATTATTGTTGATGCGGTCCATTTTTGTATTCATATTTTTCATTCATGGAGAGTGAGTAATGCTCTAATCATCTAAATACACTGGGGTCATGAACCAAAACACTTATCAACTAAAACAAGCAAGACCTATCCTTATAAACACACTATGTTATTCCATTCTAGACATGATTCACTCATTATTTTAATTATTAGCTGTGCACGCATAGACAATGCAGGAAGCTCTGTTAGTTTTGACAAAGTGGTATTTATGTGCAGATTAAGTGTGATTGTAGTTTTGTAGTATGAAAAATTATATATCAGGTAAACTATATCAAATTGACTATAAATATTACTTTCATATACACACCCTCACATTCTATTAAAGCTAAAGAGTTGACGTCGCTATGGAGATCAACAGTGCTTTTCCTATTTTTAAGAAAACAACTAAATTACATTTAGAGCATCAAGCACTGCATAGTTTGGCTGTAAAGGTGCCTTCCATTCATTTTTTCTCACAGACCTTTTTGTAAAATTTTAATATTAAAGGTTTAAAGGCAGGACAGAGGCTATCCAGCTATGTTTCAACTAATATCTTGGATGCGATTATTTTTGGTCCAAAAACAATGAAGACCTTAACTTCGTCTTAATGTCTTTCTAACTTTGTGGTTTAAAATGTTTCATAAATACATTATAAATTAAATCACTTATCTCATACTTATAAGTTGCCACATAGATGATTTGCCCCTAGCAAGCTTTTGATAATATTCTTTTCAGTAAGTGTAAGGGAAAAATGAATGAGAAATTTACTTGGGCTTAACCTGCGCTGTCACTGTTGAGCTCCATTGGTGCTTACATGTACACAATGCAGATTTTTTTGTATTTTTTCAGAAATTTTTGGCACGCTTGAAGTCAAAAAGTACAATGCAGTGTAAGTTGTGTGCGTGTGAGAGGTGTGAAGAGGCTGCTGAAAATACCCTGTAATGGTTGTGAAATGGTAGGGTGAAGCTTTGGGGCCTGAGGGCTAAGGTTAAGTCTGGAATGCCTTTAATTATAGTCCAAGAGTCCTACACTGCAAACTCAAGACGACGCAGGAAAGATGTCAGAAAATGGTAAACAAAGAGTAAAAACCTAGATACAAGTTTGTCACATTTCCAATAAAGGTGCATTGTAACTTTTCTGGTGGAGGGTCCATCACCTGCTTTTTGCTATGGATATGTCATTGCGCTGCTTGTAATGTTCCACAGTATGACATTAAACAGTTTTACCTTACATTTATTTAATTAGAGGTTTTATAGATCAACAATACCTAGAAAAACAGGCATTTCGTGGTTGCCTCTCCACAGATCTGACCTGTAACTTGGTCAGGCTTGGTCTCCATGAAGATAGAATGGCTTATTATGATACTGTGAAACATTCCAGACAAAGCAATAACATTTCCATAGAAAAAAGAATTCAACGGACCATCCAAAAATATTACCTGCATTATAGGTTTGTTTTGTATTCTATTCTATAAGTTGAGGGTTAGGCAATATACATGTTAAACCTCAGCCTAAATCCCTTTGGTCGGTAGAATAACTGAAGTGTCATGCGTAATTTTTGTGTTATTCATAAATCATTATAACATGATTAATGATTATGCAAATTAACCGTAGAAAATAAACATAAAAACACAAAAATTCCAAACTGAACTTCGATACCGAGAAAAAGGCTTGATACGCTATACCAATTTTGATACCACAAATGCTCTTTTTTGGACAGCAGACTTTAATTTAGAATGGAATTATCAACAGAAAAAAAGCACTTTTTAACATTACCATGTGGCCTGTCTTAAATACAGAACTATTCAGCAAAGATCCAGTATTGTTCCGCCTATGTTTGTGAGCTTTTTTCAGTATCGATTACCTGTTCAAATGAGCATCTAATATCAATACTGGTTTTAGTATTGATTGGTATCAGGATATTGATACTTTCGACAATCTCACAACTAGAATATCAAGAACATTGTCTATGATTAAAGGCTTCAAAAACTGAATAGGTCAAGATATAAGACAGACCGCATGGTAATATTAAAAAGTACTTTTATGTTTGTGTTGAAAGATCTCATTTTGTTCTGTCTATGTTAGTTTTTTCAGTATCGATGCTTTTTAAATGAGCATCTAGTGTCAATACTGGATTTAGTATTGACTGGTATCTATATAGGCCTGTCACGATAACAAATTTTGATAAACATTACTATTGAAACTACTTTAGGCCACTTTATGACACAATAACAATAAAACCAGGATAATCAACAATATTTAATGGCATAATATAGACAATATTATTAAAAGGCATGAGCTGCAACATCAAATACCAGAATTAACTGATACTTAGCCATAGAAGTTACTTATTCAACACTCTATAGCTCAAATCTTATTACAAATCATACTACAACTAAAATAACAAGAATCTCCCCATTACGGCAGAGAAAATGTATAGATGATAAATACTCATCCCCAAAATATACTGTTCTAGCTCGGATATACTGAACGATAAGTTGATACAGTAATTATCGTGACAGGCCTATATCTGGATACTTATACTTTGACAAACCTACTACATTACATGACATGCACCACAACAGTCTACTATGGAAGTAACTGACACTGTCTTTCTAAGCACCACTTGCACTTAACTAAGCTGTCCTCACTTATGGGATTTACAAGCTCCTCATTGGGCTGCCACCCGCGAGTCGTCTCCCTTGTTTTAGTGGATGTAAAGGAAAGGGGTGGGTGCCGGGGCCGTGGTGGTTAGCACTAAATTGGCCCAGTGTGGGAGCTGGAGGATGTAGTTAAATTTAGACAGCAGAGAGCCAGACATAGAGTCAGTGCTGCTCCAGACATCGTTCAGCAAATCTAGTGAAAGTTCAAAGTAGCAAGGATTTATATACAGTCTATGGATTACCAGCAAGATTTGGGGATAAGTCTGTCTATTGAGGCAACGCAAGATGTTTTGAAAATATACTGCATGTTTTTAGCTGCTACAGTTTTTAATATATTACGAAATTTTCTGCCTCACTACTTCTGCTCGTCAGTTTCAAATATGTTTTTTCATCTTGCAGTGGTTTACTTTTCCATAAAATGCTAACATTATCCTGTTCTCAATTTTTATAACATAACTTGGACTTATTATACACAGATATTAACTGTTCATTTGTTCTATTGTGTTAATTATTTATTGTATCATATGGGGCGACAGTAGCACAGTTGGTAGAGCATTTGTCCAATCTGAAAGTTGGCAGTTGAGAGCTTGGATCCGCTGACATACAAGTTGGTAGTGCTGTGGCAGATTGATGCTGTTGTTGCATCCTTGGGCAAGACACTTAATGCGCTTTGCCCCTACTGGTGTATGAGTGTGCGTGAATGGGTGAGTGACTTCTTAATGAGTGACTGCTTAATGTAAACGGCTTTGAAGGTGGAAAAGTTCTAAAAATGTGACTACTTACTAGGAGTGTGACGATATCCAAGTCTCACGATACGATATCATCACGGTATGAACCTCACGGTACAATATTTATTGCGATATCGTGGGAAAGCTTACGATATGTTGGGGAGGCTCATGAATATCCAAATCTCTCAGTACGATATTTTCACGATATACATCTCACAGTATGATATTTATTGTGATATTTTGTAGAGGCTAATATTTTTCCTCTTAAAATTCCTTGACAAGACTTAATCCAAAGAACTAAAATTTAAAGGTGCTTAGAACTGTTATTTCTTCATGTAGTCTGCACTGAAATGGAGCAAAGGATCATGGTCTGTGTAGTTCCTTCTGTCTTTTTTTTTAGCTATTGCTGCACCATAACTCTTAATTTAAGCAAAGAGACTTGTAATTTGATTATTGTGAGAACTTTGACGATACACAAACAACAATACGACATCACAACATTTCGGTTATTGTTATATCCCTACTATTTAACATTTATTATATGGTTCATTTAGAAAAAATATTTATGGGGTTATTGTGTCATTGGCATCAAGTGGTCTTCAGTGTTATCTTGTTACTGTTTTTATTAATATTGTATATTGCACTTCAAGTTTACAACAGTTCTAGTATCGTACACTCTAATTGAAGATAGACTGTAATTTATGAGCTACTGTGTCCTAGTCATTTCCCTCATGGGTCAGTAAGCTATGTTTTCATTTGAGTTTGTAATTGTGACAGGCCTACTACATACAGTATAATTAGTAGCATTTGTTGTGTATTGCTTACATCTTTTCCCAAATTAACTTGTCAGTAAGATTCCTAGTGATTGAGTTACAAACTTTAATAACGTGACAGATTGAGCAGCAGTTGTTTCTTTCTATCTGAACTGCGTGTTTGGTTGGCTAATCCCCAGTTCTCCAGTATGATCTTTCATTTGTCAGTTGGAGTAGACAGCTGCAGTCGGTGCTCTCAGCTGAACAGAAGGACAGACAAATGACTTGTGTTGAATGAAGTCGGTTCTGGTAAATTTATCTTAAGATGCAGTGCCACGCCTCACAGTTTGGTTTACATTGGGCCTGAAATACTGCGTTCTGATTGGCTTATTCTGCGGCGATGGAGCACTCGGTGAAGAGTTTCAAACCAACAGATGGTGACCACAAGCTATCAGCTGTGCTCAGACCAGAGGTGGGCAACTTAAGGATCAAAGCAGGGCAGATTTTAGCAGCCAGACCACAAAACCAGTGCGGATACACAAACTCCCATTGTGAAAACCAACGGTACTACACACTGCAAAAAATGAATATCCGAATATGATTTAAATTAGAATAATGTGAACTCAGAATATAATTTGAGTATTTGAGTTTAGACAGCTGGACATCATTTAAGGTATTTTGGACTTTCTAATAGCAAGAAAAATATGTCAATGCAAGAAGAAAAATGCAAGCCAGTTTAGTCAAAAAATAAGACACATTTCAAAGTTGAAACACAAAGTACAAGCTGAAGAATACAAATATGCAGTAAAAATAAGATAATATTTTAAAATAGTCATAAATCTTTACTAAAATATTATTAAATGAAAAAACTATTTAAACCAAAAATATACTATATATGCAAAAAATATCAAATTAGAAAAACTTACTACAGTAAATAAATCTGATTGACTTCCGAAATGGCCAGATTAAAAAAAAAAAGTCCAGATCTTTCTACCACGCACCTCTTCTGGATGAATGATGGATTACACCAATAAAATATTCTGCATTCAAGTCATTTTAACTCAAGTATATATTCAGTTCAATTCAGTGTATTGTTTAATGCATGTGACTGTATATGAAACTGACCTGGCCATAGCTGCAGCAGATAGTGGAGGACTTCGATGTGCTTCTTGAAGTGCAGAGCGCTGGCGAGTTCCTCCGAGTCGATGAAGACGCGATTTGAGTGACAAGAGGCCTCCTGACGCTGGCTTAATAACACAGGCCCAAAGCACACGGCCAGGTTCTGACATGTCATTTTGTTCACCTCCTGATACGACGCCACCAACTTCAGGTGGTCCAACAGCTTCTGGAGAGTCATCTGAGAAAAGATATAACAACACAAGATATAACTTTAGCTTTATTCAAGTCTTAAAACAGACTTATAATGCAAAATCAACTTTACAGAGATTTTAACCATGTTACAGTTGTTTTTCCTTCTTATTCACCCTCATTTACCCTGTATTTGTAATGACTTGTGCGTGTTTGAGAAATTTTTAATTACTTATTTTCAAGTCACCATATTGCTGATTAATCTGTTTTCACCGTCACCAGCATATGCCAACTGCTCAGTACTTCGTTGTCCAATTTTATTTTCTTAACTGATGACACACGTAAGATTCGGCAGCATCATGTAGAAATTTTGGTACAAAAAAAAATAAAAAATCTGCTACTCGTCAACGTAATTTACAGCTATTCATAGTTGCAGAGTTGCTTAATGCTAAAAGTTAGAAAAGTTGTTTATTTGTTATAGTATACACAGGTGGCATAGAGTATAACTATATAGTAGGCTTAAGCACAATATGTGTTCTTTAAGATGCCTCAATGTCTCCATAATTTTGTTATTGCTTTGTCTCGAAAAAAAGGAAATTTAATTCTGTTGAGTAAATATGTTTCAACACATCTAAGTCTTCTTCAGCTAACAGAATTTAATTTTCTTTTGCAATGTAACCTATCTGGATTACACAGACATTTTTGCCTGGATTGTGCCACAGTATGGTGTTAAACTTTAAGACAAGGAGATAGTACTACAGGGCCAAAGTATAGTGTGAATTAGCCCACTCATAGTACTAGTAGAAATGCCGTAATAGAATCAATGAACTTAGCGTTGCAACTCTGAAATTTATCTTATTTTTGGATTCATCTGGTTCACATTTTTTTATTCCACTGACATGTTAGAAAAAAAAATCCAAATTACCTTAAATTAAGTCTTAACCAAATACTCAAATCATGCATTGATTCTATTATGGTATTTAATGTCATACTGTGGAACATTCCTAAAGAAGCAATAATGTCCCCATGGAGAAAAACAAAGTGGCACACCGCCTCACCAGAAAGGTAACACTGTACTTTTTGTGTATTTTGTGTGCAGAATGATTGTATGCTATTTAGTTTTTGCTTTCTCTTTGTGTCATTATTAAGTGGTAGAGGAAATGACAGTGGTGTTTGTTTGGTCAACCACTAACAGGTTCTAATGCGACACCAGAACACCATATAATAACAGTGGTCATTGATACAGTTATCATTATGGCCTGCTATTATCTATGCCACAATAATGCCCTTCTGCTCCACCGGGGGCAGTGTTTTGTCGTCTGAATCATCAGTACTCTTACTTAAAGCTGAGTGATAAATACCTAGTTTTTTTTGCCGTTATTTACATGTCTTGGCTGAGACTGATACTTAACTGTAGACTATAATCTGGACTGTAAAATTAACCGCAGAAAAGTACAGAAATATCATGTGATACCCTTGTTTGGGAGATAACACTAGTTTCTGTGCTTTTGTGCAATTTTAATACATTTAAGGCAAAATTTAGATTGATCAATTTGCAACTTTCTTTCTAAGTTACATATAAAAATGTATGAAAAAGTGGTCTGAGTCAGGCTTACATTACAATTTGCTGACATATTAGGTGAAAATAAAAATACAGAGGGGATGTTGGATATTTTATTAAGTATTTGAGTAAACCAGATCTTACAGAAAAATGGTGCAAAAATTTAAATCTGGATTTGGAGTTAAAGGTTCTACATATATTATGCAAAAAATGCTTTAAGTCATGTTAGAATGTTATCAAATCATACCTAGAGTTGGTATGTTTTTGACAAGGAAAAAACATAACATAGATCAGAAAATACTAGAATATTGAAAGAACAAACTAATAAAAAAACAAAAAAGCAGTATTTTTCAATTCTTCCATATATCCCCCAGTCTTACTCACCTTCTCGATGTCAGGCAGGATGTCCAGTAGACCCACAGTGTGCTCTGAGTCAGCCGGGTCATTCTCACAGCCCGAGGTGCCCATCCGCAGAGGCCTCAGAGCCATAGACTCCAGCACGGCTTCATACAGAGGTTTGTTTATCAGGGGATAGGGCAACTCACGCAGGTAGTCCTTCAGTACACCTACGAACAAAACAAGAATAGCACACATGAGACATACATTAGAATTGCAGTTTCCCATTAATAGAGGACATATAGTGGCCTATCATAGTCACCAATAATCTAAAATCAAGCTAAACTAGTATGATAAATATTATGTTTTGCTTGTTATATTGTCTTGAAACATAAAAAATAAATACACTGTTCAAAACGGAAACATTGATTAGAAAAAATAAGTGACATTTACACTGCAACAATTGTATTTATATGTACTGCTTATGTCTCCCTAGTCATAGCAGAATCTACGTGAAATACAGTAGTTTCATTACATAGAGTCAAAAATAAGTTGCATTTAGTATTAGAGCTGGTGTTATAGATTTTTTTCATCTATCATCACCATTTTCAATATGATTTGCTTTTTGTTATTACAACACATAAAAATTGCTTTCAATACTAACTTCATGAACATAAACAAGGCTAGGGCTGGGTGTCATTATGAAGCTGCCGATACAATAGATACCTTGATACATAAGCAACGATATGATACATATCTCGATACATTGCACTTTCGCTTCGATACGATATATTTCAAATCAATTTGATACAGTTCAATAAAAAATAATGTCAAAATCATGGCTGTAATACTAAAAATCTTTGTTAAACCACTTCTTATGCGAAGTGAATATGAAACACAAACATTTGAATCAACAAAACAGTAAAAATGTCAAATGTGTTGAGTAAACAAGTTTTGTTCTACTGAACAAGCAACAAAACTGTATTGTTGTAACAAAATAATTTAGTAAAATATACCAAAAAATACTCTTATTTATGTGTATATATATATATATATATATATAGATACAGCAGCCCATGAAATCGATACTGTAACATGACATTAAACAATACGATATATTGATATTTTGATATATTTGCACACCCCTAAACAAGACACTTTTAATCTGTACCATTCAGCAAAAAAATAACTTGGAATTTCTTCAAAAGACTGGATTGTTTGTAGAAGACCTTTTACTTAAAAAGACCCAGGCGGATCATACACTATTTGACCTTAATGTGATTATCTGTCTTATAATTCTATTCATTCCATAGCCGTAAGCAATATTATAATGAAACCAAGATCATCATTGTTGTTGTTGTACAGCTGTGATGGAGGCGGGTGTGTCTGGTCCCACACCTGTGACCCCAGCCTATCTCAGTTCTTACAAAAGCAGAGTAAACATGAGACCCGTCTGTCTATGTTAAGCCTCTGCACTATCACAGCTATGTCTTTTCATCTAAAAGGAGCTGGGAATAAATACAGGAATAAAACAACTGTTGGCAGCGGGACAGCTCTTTGTGGTGAGTGTCTCTTCTTTGAGTGTGGTTTACAGGCTGCAGGCAGGGTAATCAGGATCTCTGGGTCTGTGCCAAATACGTATTATTTTAATTACCAAAATCTCAAAGCTTTTCGAGAAACACAAAGCACCCAAAAGATCAAAATGTTAAGGTTAAGGCCAAAAAATGTATATTATGATTTCAATTTTATACCAATTTCTTTTGAAAGTCCACACTTCTCTGATTGATCCCTCAGTCAGATCATGACAAAAAAATTACCAAAAAGAGGAGAGTGAGTGGGACATTATTAGTGCTTTAGCACAGAGCTGACATAAATGCACTGAAACATGGTATGACAATGATGATATCACTAAATAACACATAATTCAATTTTCACTTTCATTGCCCAACCCTATAGCAACTAAAGAAAGTCTGAACTTGTTATTTTCTGAAGAGGTCTTGCAGCTGGCAGCCAAAACATATCAACAAGGTAAAATATCTCCTACTGTATTGTCTTTAAAGAGAACTCAAGAAGTTAATGTATAAAGAAAGACAAAATGAATGTTTTCGGACCTTATAAGAACTTGTAATAATTTGCTGTTTTCAAAGTTACTGTTGAAATGCTCTTGCAAATACAAGTGCACTAAGTTTGAAGCCCCAGTTGTTTATAACTAGTGATCATTTTTGAACAGTTCTGAATCAAGTTTTATTATTTATTTATTTTTCTGTCATTAAAAAGTACACTCCAATATAAGTGAATGGCTCCTACAACAGAGTGTCCCTTTTTACTCCATGACGGCTATTTACAGCAGACTACAGTGAGCCTCAGTGTAAATCCTGGGACATGATCCCCTCAGCCCAGAGCAGAGAACAGAGAGCACAGCTTAATGCGCTCACATTTTAATCCTAATTAGTCTCTCCTCTGTTTTAAAAGCAGCCTCAACACTTTTACTTGGCCAAAAACACCCACTATTTAACAAGAACCAGTGCTTTACAAGATATATGGTGTTAATTACCAGAGTGAAGACTAGCATGTTGACTTTATACCCTGGATTAGTCAGAGAAAGCAGACAAAATCAGTCTAGCGTTACATTACAAGGCCCAGATAGTCATTAGGTCAGTAGCCCCACACTGGCATTCAAAACAAACAAGTGTCTGCACGTGTTATCAGAGGATCTACTGAAGCGCCTGAGCAGCTTTCATACTTTACAATGGTTAAAGGCGCACTTTGTAATGTTTTTGATGGCTTTGTCTGGAATGTTAAAAAGTAAGGCATTAAACTTGTCTATCTCCATGGAGACAAGTAGGTGAAATTACAGGTCAGATCTGCTGAGAGGCCCTGCTCACGGTAAGAAAACATCTTTTAGCAATAAAAAAACATCTATAGGTGAATGCATGAACACTGAAAGGTCCTATATTACACAAAATTGATTCCCGTGAGCTTTAAGACATGCGTTAATGCTGTTACCTCATCAAAGTTGTGTTTTATTTCATTCACATATCCCTTTATTATTAGCCTGTCTAAATCTCCAAAACTCAAAATACTCTGTTCCACCTTGTGATGTCATGAAACGGTATTTTTCACGTTAACAGCTACTTTTTTAGTTGTTCAGTGGACATGGGAAATTTCTGGGCTTAAATGAGCCAAATGATTCTAGCAAAGATGCATGAAGTTTAAAAACACAGAGGAACACATCCTATATTACCACATTACATCAGAAGTTGGAACAGAATGATCTCTGCCTAAATATGCAGGGTTTGTTCAAATGAAAGAAAACAAAGCTCTAGGTATGTTTTTGATGAGGAAACAACATTATAACATAGATTACAAAATAGCATGATATGGGCCATTTACTGTCATATTGTGGAACATTTTGCAAACAACAATAACATATCCATGGAGAAAACAATTGGCAAACACCCCACAAAACGCTATACAATGCACTTTTAAGAAACCACAACAATAGCTAAATACTTTTATCATAAACATGTACTATTTCTTGTCACATGGGTTTCCTCACAGTAGCTCTTTGGTCAACAACAACAGTTGTTGTTGCAGTGGCTGTTACTACATAATAACAGGTCAACACAAAACATCAATAATTAGCAACTGAAAAGTGTTTTGTGACAAGTGCAGTTTGGATTTCAACACTAGCTTCAACACCAGCCTGCACCCACTCACACTCACTGATATGACGGCGCATTCCTGGGACAGTGGAGCCTCTGAATATGGCAACAACATGCCACAAGAACATCCGTAACTATCCCCTGTCTCGCCCTCCCTCCCCTCACCACTCTCCCCGTACAGAGCAAACTGACAGCTCGAGTCAGTGGGGTCATAGTGTAATGCCCTCCCTCCAGGCAAACGGGCACTTATTATTTAAGAAGATAGTAGTATACTGTCTCTGGCATTGCCTATGTAGAGCCATACTTTGCATTTGGTTCATATTTAACCACAATATGTATCTAAAAGTACTTAAAGCCGCTCCATAAGTATATATTCAATCTATAAAATTCATTATAGAGGGAAAAAAATGCCCAAGTAACAAGTTAAAGTTGAGTACATTGTTTTGATAATACAAACCTGGTCAAAAACTTTGCATTGGGGGTAGTATATTGTAGCAAGCAGTGTATTTTCGTGTGCATTCTTATTGCTAAAAACAGGCTATATAACCATTTTGAACATTGGTATGTGACCTGGAGACTGATATCTTCAAGTTACTGCAACAAACACAGGGATGTGGGTGGGGATACGGGGGTAGGTAGAAATAAAAAAAAACTTATAACTCAAGCCTCAAATGCAAGAGAATAAAGAACTACTCAAACATGCAAGAATCTGTTAAAAGTATTAAAAGATAGGAGGAACATGATTAGAAGCTCTTAAAAGTTGATTTTGCGTAATATAATGTTAAGAAACTATGCTTGAAGTGTGTAATCTTCTGTTGTGCACCAGCATGTTCTAATCTCTTCATCAGTAAGGGGGGAGAAAGGCACCCTCTTGATTTGTAAAACTGATATGATATGAATTTTAATGAACATCTTGTGGCTTCCCGATGCCAATCTTTGCTTCAACTTTCCACTGATGATAAAAAATAATCAGCATGTTCATCGTCAGGAAACTGTCTGTCTGGAAGCAACTCAAACCATATGTTTTATCTTTATCTGAAGAATGGAATGGCATACTTGTTAAGAGTGCGTGCCAGTACAGCTTTATTATGCTTAACGCCAAACATCTGAATTTCAATACATTTTTCTACGTCTTATCGAATCCTACCCCATGCATAACAGCCCCTTTCATTTGTATCACTGGTCCTAAGCCTCAAGAAAATAAAGAGCATAAAAGGAAAGGAATCTGGCATAAACAAGGCATACAAAAGCAGACAAAATAGAACACACAAAATCATTACCCACATAGAAATTGCAGTCTTAGCCATTGAAGCAAAAGAAAAAACATAATACTAACATAATAATACTTAAGATCTCTGTATTAACATTCTGCCTTTTAAATACAGATATGTAAAAAGTTATGTCCTAAAACTGATAACACTCTCCATGGAGACAGATAAATGTACTACCATGCTGTAGAACATTCCAATGAAAGTAATAATATCTGTATGGAGACGATTTATTTCTCCAAAGTCCAAACTCAGCTCCAGACCACATGCTTTTAGTGACTGAGGATTGGCTGCAGA